AATAAATGGTGTTCAACAAAAAACTGATAGCTATAAACTCAGAACCCTGAGAGGCATGAAAGGCACAGCAAATAACTAAAACCAGACATTATAATAACAATTACTTATCAGGTTGTTATCATTACAGAGATATGTCTGAGTATATACAGGGGAAAGACTTTAAGGTCCTTGAGATTGCTAGTCAGCAGGTTAGAAGAAAAAAAAAATCTGTATTCAGACAAATCCATGAAGATCAGAGAAGAATAGCTCTCCTGAGGACCTGCGCTTCTGGGCAGCCCCAGATGTGGATGGAAACCCAAGCTACTGCACTGATCAGAAAGAACATCTGCATGATTCTGAATCTGCATGGGCTCTCAAGGCTGACAGGTTTCCTAGAGCCCACAATCAGAAAGTATCTCTGAATTAACAGTCTGTCTACCTTTCCATAAAAAAAAGTCTAGTGATTCCCACTCTGTTTAACCCCATTGCATCACGGACAATTAAAACCAGTGCTATCCTTTTGGGCAGAGGCACACTGTTAGATCTGGGCTGTTCGTGACACTTTCAGGATGTCAAGTTGGTTGGGAACAATCTGGGAGTTGTTCTCTGTCGGGCTGTTGTTTCACTCAGCAGTACATCTTTGATGACTCAGCTTTGGAAGTAATGTCAAGCCAAGTGAAGCTGGGCCTGGTGGTACAAGCCTTTAATCCCAGTACTTAGGAGGCAGAGACAGGAAGACCTCTGTGAGTTCAAGGCCAGCCTGTTTTATAGAGAAAGTTCCAGGCCAACCAGGGCTACACAGGGAAACCCTGTCTCAAAAAAAAAGAAAAGAAAGAAAGAAAGAGAGAAAGAGAGAGAGAGAGAGAGAGAGAGAGAAATATTCAACTAATACTTCATATGAAAATGCAAATAATTCAATAAATCCATGTGTAACTCAGAATGAGAATCTGGAGAAGGGTAGCTCCAAGGTGAAAAGAAAGGAGTTTACAGATGCAATGTCCTCAGACTATCTTCATCCAAGTACTGAGAGCCTAGTACCTAATCTCAGAAAAACAGTACAGGCAATAATGAAGCCTCGTTTCTACCCACAATGTCAAAGCTTCGTAACTATGTCGGACACTGCATGCCTAGATCTCAGCATTTGGATGTGAAGCAGGAAGATCAGGAGTTCAAGGCCAGCATGGCACCTTATTAGAGTCTGTTCTAAGAGTACTGAACTCGGAATTAGGACTACGTGGCCTCATTTAATAAACCTTTATTTAGTGAACACCTGAAACTTGCCCACCACTGTTTGCAACACTAAGAACACAGCAATAAACAACACAAACAGCCTCTCTCACCAACCTTCCTCAGCCATTGGTGGAAAATGCCTCACCTGCTCACCTTTCTGGATCTTGATTTCGCCTGCCAAAGCAGGGAACTAGACAAGGTGTTTTCCAGACTGGGTTCCAGAGCTAACTAGATCTCCATCTCCATCTTAGCGTTCTGTGGAAAATCAAATCTGTCTTTAAAACACTTGCTGTTTTTTAATTATTTTATATGACGGTGTGTTTTTGTCTACACATTTGTCTGTGCATCATATGTGTGTATCACATACAAGTCTGGTACCCACCCCCGCAAAGGTCAGAAGCGAGCACTGAAAATTCTGTAACTTGAATTACAAACAGTTGAATTAAAAACAGTGATCTAGGGCTGGAGAGATGGCTCAGTGGTTAAGAGCACTGACTGCACTTCCAGAGGTCCTGAGTTCAAATCCCAGCAACCACATGGTGGCTCACAACCATCTGTAATGAGATCTGATGCCCTCTTCTGGTGTGTCTGAAGACAGCTACAGTGTATTCATATATAATAAATAAATAAATCTTTAAAAAAAAAAAAAACACAGTGATCTACCATGTGAGCACAGGAATTGAACCCTGGTCCTGTGGGAAAGTAGCCAGTGCCCTTAGCTGCTGAGCCATCTCTCCAGCCCCCATTTGCTGTTTCATGTAAAAAAAAGAACTGACACTGAAGACTTCAGGGAGTAGTTGTGTGGGTTTCTTCCTTTCCCAAGCAAGCTCCAGTGGACAGACAGCATCTAACTTCAATTCTGACAATTCCTACCTGAATTAGGAGTCAGATCCCACAATATAGTTCCCTTGAGAGGTTGATCACAGATAGCATGCTGTCACAACTTTCCTTTATGTGATGATAAGGTAAGTTCCTACTACCCACCCCTTGGAAATACCCTTTCTGGTTTGCTATAAGATACTACAGGGAAGTGTGGCCATGCCTGTAATCTGAAGGTGGAAGCAAAAGAATCAACAAGCAGTTGGGAGGCTGAGGCAAAAAGACCAGGAGGTAACAGTCATCCTCAGTTACAGGAGACCGTGCTCAAGCAGAAACAAGTAAACACAACATTTCAAAGGGCTATGACCTCGATCCCATCTCCAACAAAGCAAAAGAAAAAAATGTAAGTAGCCACGCCTCAAAGGGGTGCACACAAGCAAGGTCTCAGGGAAGGGGCGCCTCCAAAAGCATGCTGGTCAAACCAGAATGTCTACCCAAAGGTTACTAAGTAGAGACTGAAAGGTCAAAATCTCCAGCTCACCAGTCCCAGCCTGAGGCTGACTTAATTATACTAGTATAAAACAGGTTCACAGCCAGTGGTCAGAATTATTCTCAAAATTCCAAGACTTTTGGCGCCACGTGACAGGACCAGATCCCCTCAGTCTACCAAGGTTATGAAGGAGTGATCTCATTCTGTCTGCTATGGTGTTTCTCTTCTCACTGGCTTGGTTTCCCATGGTACTTCTCATACTTCTGATCTATTCTTCTGTATTATTACCATGGCTGGGATTCCAGCGATCCAGTAAAAAGCAAAGTGGTTTCAGTACATAACACAACCTGAAATTATTGCTTAATCTTCATGATTACTTTCTCTAAAACTGAGAAACAAAATCAGATCTGGTCCTCCCTCTCTGTGTTAATCCCTTCCACAAAACCAAACCACACGGCCTCTAGTTCTTTATTTCCAAATGCCTCAGCATGACACATGTCAAGACCTTTCTGCAACCTGGTCTCTTCTATGACTCTTTCCACCCAGTTCCCTTTGCTCTTCTCCACCACTTCCAGTTTCTACACAGGGCCTGCGCTAAGTGCTCATTTCCAAGATTGTTCCTCATGTAACCTCTTCCTAGAGACAGCCCTTCCCTCCCCTCCTCCAACTACCTACAAAATCACTCAAGACCAGCCAGAACCAATTTGAATGTTGCTAAATACAATTCAGGAGAAGGGATTCTGTTTCATCTACTACTCTAACTTTGAATACTGATCTGGTAGCCAAGCAACAAGTAAGTATAAAGAGAAACCAAGCATCACTTCTACTGGGCATCAAGACATGAATTTATTCCACATCCATGCGGCTGAGTAAATATCCTGGCACCTCTGTGTCCTCTCAAAAAACAAAAATGACACATGAAAACCAAGGACACCATCCTTTGAAAGTGTGAAACATGGATTTATAATGTTCTAATCTGGGACCTATTTCTAATTTACGATGCTCTGTTTGCTCCCCATACAAAGATGTGTTAAAAGATAAAACAAAGCCTAGTTCGCATTTACAAGAAGCCTACCTAAGTTGGATTCCCAAAACCCACATGGTAGAAAGAACCAACCCCCAGAAGTTGTCCTCTGACCTCCGTGTGCAAGCAGGGGCACATTCATTTATAAACATGCACACAAAATAAGCAAGGCTGCTCACAAATCATATTTTCACTTGGACAAGTGTGATATCACCAATGACACTGTTCACCTTCAAAAGCTCTTTATACTAAACAATGACTATAAGAAGCATGAAATATTGATAAGTAAGGTCAATCTGGGGATCTTAAGACTAAACCATCAGTTTTATTTTTAAATTGTGAATAAAAATTCCACCTGATTCTTGGGGTGTTTCATGTTTGAAAAGCATTAACAATTTTCCAAACTTTGGCTGTAAACTTTGATTAGCACACTGTGGAAACCAGGTCAATGATCTGATGAATACTGGTTGGTTTTGTTTCTTGACACAGGACAGAGGGATTTTTTTAGCTTTGATTACGTTGGGAGGGTCTCATCAGACACACTGCCGAGTCTCTAAAGAGGGCCCCTCCCCCAGTACTATTTAGGAGCATCCCAGATCTCTAGAGCAAGGGCTAGACATGCTATGGTAAGCTCATTTCTCAGCAATAACTCCTGCATGCTGGGAGCCTATAACCTCGGTATGAAAGTCACATTCGTGTTTCCCTACGCAGGCCCTGCCTCAAAACAGGGCCAAGCAACTCTGGCATGTTTTTCTAGATTTTTAAAGTGAAGCTGGAGATGGGGGGGAATCTAAAGGTGTTCTCTCAGATCCTTTTGACACCTGCTACCCAAGAACGCTACAACAAGCAAACTCCAAAGGTTTGAGCAAGCAACCGCAGCGGCAAACCACAACAGATCCCGAGGCCGAAGTGGGTCGGGGTTACAGTTACACTTCTACAGCATATTTACATCCTTCTGCCTACAAACTTGAGAGCAAACTAAGTTCCCTTCCATGGCGGCGTGCTCCCAGGGCCTTAAAAAAAATCAAAGCTACGTCCCTGGGGCCGGAAGGATGCGATCCACTAGGTACCAAGGCTACTCCAAGCCCTCCATAGACCACGCACTCTGCGGCCCCGGCGTCCTGTGAGCTCTCGGCGCCGAAAGGGTCGCCCGGGGCAACCGGCCGGCGCCCAGGTCCGAGCAGACCGTCATGCCGGCCGCCGAGCCCTACGCTACGGCCTCCGTCCGCGCGGGATGACTGGCCTGGATGGCAGACCGCCGGCAGCCCCGCCCTGCCGTCCTCTCGGTCGCTCCCCTCGCCGCATCACGGCCTCCATGCTCCACCGCGGCCTCGGGGCCCCACCGCGGCCTCCCCGGCCCGGCCCTGCCCGCCCCGAGCCACCGCGCAGGCCGCCCGCCCGTCCGCTCTCCCTCCCGCCTGCCTAGGCCCCGCGCCGCGCCCCGGCCTCCCGCCTCACCGTTCTGCTGCGGCGGCGCCAGGCCGGAGACTACTCCGCCGAGCTTGGGCGGCATCCGGGCGCCGGCGGCCGGGTGAGGGGACCCGGCGGGGGCCGACATGACGGCGCGGCTGGCGGCGGCGGCGGCTCCTCCGCGGCGGGAGATGGGCGGAGGGAAGGAAGGCGGGGCCGCGGAGGAAGAGGAAGAGGAAGGAACGCGCCCGCGTCACAGGCCGAGTCACTCTCACTGAGGACCGCGACCCGGGCACCCACGCTCGGCCGCGCCACCGCACGCGCGCGGACCCCAGCCCAGTCCTCCCGCGCCAGCGCCCCCTGCAGGCCGGAACTGCGACCACCGCCCCGCAGAGGCCAGGCTGCGGCGCCGCCGAAGGGGAAGGCGCGGGCCACTGTGGCCGCCGCTACCCGGATGGAGCCTGCGCCCTGCAGGGCTGCAGAACGGTGCAAAGCTGCGGGCTGAGGTCCTGGGTCACGGAAGTCCCAGCCCACCCACGTACCCTTCCTCGGAAAAGGATGCTTGGCTTTGGATTTGTTATTTATTCTTGTACACACACACACACACCTCCAAATTAGCAGCACAAATGTTTATTGGAAATGTATAATTCCGAACAACAAACATTTCTCTATAACAGATTCTCAATAATGGCAGTAGTCAAAACTTTAACCAGTGACTTGAAACACTAGGGGAAGAGGAAGGCGAACACCTAATAAAAAGAGAGCTTGAAGACTAACTTTATATTCCACCCCCCACCCACCCGCCATGGGTTGGCTCCGCCCATTGGTGTTTAAGAAAGGATGCTGTGGCATCCTGAAGACAGGTCACCCTGCTTTGACTACCTTAGTGAAATCTTTGAAGCAATCTCCCTGGTCCATGCAGCATGTTGACTGGCAGGCAAGGACTGCATTATCCAAGTCATTTGGGCATCGTGGTCCCAACTAGGTCACGGTCACACAGTAGTGGGTATGCAACTGCTCAGAAACGTTTGGATTCAGAATGAGATCTAGTAAGATGACATTTCCGGAGCGGTGGAATCCTATATACTGGAAGGTTATGCAAACCTTAAAGCTTCATAGTTCTAGAACACAAAGTCTTCCTTAAATAGTTGCCGTAAATTAATGACGGATGCCCTATTGAACCACACTAAAAATAAACTTTGGAGTCATGAGATTTCCAACTACATTATGCTCTATATTCATATATATTGTGGCATTGTTCAGCTTCTTCACGGAAACTCAATCTTCCTGAGCTAGAGATCACACCCCCACTTCATCAAGGTCGCCGTTCAAGCTCCAGCCCTTGCCAGGAGTCCTTTGAATTTGCTTAAATTGAGGATGACACCATGTGAGTAAGGGACTAATAAACAATTGGCTTTCTGCCTCTGGAATGTGTTCTTGTTGTTGGCTTGTTTTAATCAGGTGTATGGATATGCTGTCTCTTCAGGGAAGATTCCTCACACAGACTGAAATATTACATTTTCATAGATCTCCATAATGTAATTACCCCAAAAGTATTTACTTTTGTCTGTGGGTTTTGTTGGGTCCAAAGGAAACTCCAGTACCCCAAATTCCAAAAGGCAATCCAAACATCCGGACATGAGCTCAGCCTGGACTACAGGAGGATTTCTGGCAGTTAGATAAAAGGCAACCTTCCTCACAAACTTGTGAAACTGGTTTGCCTCTGTGGTGGTTTGAATAGGTATGGCCCCATAGACTCATGCGTTTGAATGCTTAGCCTATAGGGATTGGCACTGTCAGGAGGTGTGCCCTCGATGGAGGAATTACCTCACTGTGTTTTGAGGTTTTGAGGTCTCCTATGCTCAAGCTACACCAGTATGGTGCAGTCTCCTTCTCCTCCAGCACCATATCTGCTTGCAGGCTGTCATCCTTCCCACCGTGATAATAATTAACTAAATCTCGGAAGCTGTAAGCCCCAAATTAAATGTTTTTCTTTATAAGAGTTGCTGTGGTTGTGGTGCCTCTTCACAGCAATGAAGCCCTAAGACCCCTTCCATCGAAAGGAGTTATTTCCCATACCTCTGGCAGAAGGGACCACATAGCTACCTGTGGTGCCTATTAGCATGTCAAAGCCCATGCTGGCCTCCATCCTCCCTCTGTACCACAAACTCCAGTTATACATCTCAAAGTCCATCTTAGCCCTTCTCCCCTCCGCCCCACCCTAAATTTTCTCCACCTCCCCTCAGCTACTCGGTCTCTTCAGAACCCTGCTATTGTTGCTCTATCCTCTCTGTTGGGAGCTCTCCCTCTCCCTCTCTCCCTCGGCTCCTAATTCTCTCATCATGTATTCTCTGTTCTCTACCTCCTGCTGCTATTCTCCCCTGCCTTGTAGAGAGCCCTGCCCGTGTCCAGTCTGCTGGCCATGTTCATTCCACTTCTCTCTCTGCTCTGAATTTCACACACACACACACACACACACACACACACACACACACACACACGCGCGCGCGCGCGCGCACGTGTGCACACATGCATATCTACAATTAAAACTCTCATTCATACTATCAGTTTATACTGGCTGGGTTGGGGGGTTGGGGTGGTAGTGTTTTTTTCTTCCACTTCTTCTTCTTCTTCTTCTTCTTCTTCTTCTTCTTCTTCTTCTTCTTCTTCTTCTTCTTCTTCTTCCTCTGGTTTTTTGAGACAAGAGTTTCTCTGTGTAGCCCTGGCTGTCCTGGAACCCACTCTGTAGACCAGGCTGGCCTTGAACTCATTGTTTTACTTTTGAGAAAAGCTCTCACTATGTAGCTCCAGGCTGGCTATATTCATGTAGCTCTTCCCGCCTCAGGACCACTACACATACACAGGACTCTTCACAATCTGTAGCTCCAGTTCTCCGTTAATTCACTACAGTATTTGTATCAGTCAGGTGTGGAACAGTGGATCATGCCAGGAAACTTGGTATGCTCTGAGATCCTGGCACGCAGGTACCCACTGAGACCTCCTACTCCCTGCTAGATTCCTAGCCCAGAACACGTGACCCCACTCACCATGTCAGTACGATCATGTATTCCAGAGCAGAGTTCTACATGTTAATGAGGTATCTAGACATCCTGATACAATACAGGATACAATAAAGTGTCCCTTCCTGGATATTTCTTCCTGTAAAGCGTATTTAATCTGTGGTCCACCTTGAGAGGGTGGTATGTACCCATTTTTCATGATGAACAACCAATAAACAATTTGGAACCAAGGACTGTCTCTTTCATCAAGAACTGCCATGAGAAGCATGGGGAAGGCCTTCAACTACTGAGGCACCATCTAAACCTCTTGCAGAAAGCCCCTCTGCACCCCAGACAACCACCACCAAGCTAAGGACAGTCACCTATTGATTGAGCTTACTATTAAGATTACTGAGTTAAGCTGGAGTTCCTATTCCTCCAGCCCCAGGCTTGTCATTGTCCTCAGCCTAAGGGCCCCCAATTCTGTTCTCAACTCTCCATGACCCAGTGGCCTAGATGCTTCATCACAGGCCCATGGATCCCGACTCTTCGTTCCTGACTCCTCTGTGTGGTTTTCCAGCAGTGACTGGATTCCCGGGAGTCAGGGAACCCCAGCTTCAGCCTCCTACATCCTAGGCTGTGTTGTCCCATCCCCTGAGCATTGAAATTGTCTTTGTGCTTCCCTAAAGCCCAGCACCCAACAGTGGTGGTGCGGGGTAAGCACAGTCAAACACTCTGCATTTCACCTCCACAGTGGTGTGTGTTTCCACACCCCAGCGGTGGGGCAAAACACAGACCCACGGTCAGGGTTCTCTGGAGTCATAGAACTTACGGAATGTCTCTATATAGTAAGGGAATTTATTGTAATGACTTACAGTCTGTAGTCCAACTAACTCAACAATGGGCAGCTGTGAATGGGAGCCTAGTAATTACTCAGTCCCACAAGGCTGGGTGTCTCTCCTGGTCTTCTGTATAAGCTGGAACCCTGACAAAGTAGGTTCCAACAGATGTGCTGGCAAGTAAGTCTTCCTTCTTCCAATGTTCTAATATAGGCCTCCAGCAGAAGGTATGGTCCAGATTAAAGGTGTGTACCATCTCACCTGGATTTGGAACTAGCTTTGTCCCAGGCTGGCCTTGAACTCAGATATCTGCTTGCCTCAGTCTCCCGGGATTAAAGGTATGTACTACCTTGCTTGGGCTTAAATTCTTCATGACCACTATGTCTCAAGATCTCCATGTCAAGATCCAGGTCAGAAACTTGTGTCTTCCAGCCTCAAGATCTGGATCACAGGTGTGCCCTCCATATCTGGGCTGTAGGTCATTCCAGATCTAGTCAAGTTGACAATCAGGAATAGCTATTGCAGTACTCTTCTAGCATGTTTATGACAGTATTCAGGAATTGCAGCACCAAATAATATATGTCAGTGACCCGTGGGCGTATTTTAAGCTGAAGGAATTGAAGAAATGATTGTTGTAGGGGAAATTCCCCAACCTTCCCCTGAAGCAGATCATGAGACGGCATGTGCCTTTGGGAGCGTTGCATCCTCATCCCAGAAGACAGGAATGCTTGGACCATTTGAAGGGAACCCATGACCTTCTGCTTTTCCTCAAACCCAGGTTTAAAACACATTTAACCCTTCCTTCAAATTTCCAATTCTTTATGAAAGCCTCAGTGTCCTATAAAATGTTTAAAAGTTTGTACTTTGGTCTTTTGGTATAGGGGATCCAACTGGGAGCATAACAGAGTTTAGAGACACTTTGGGTGTCGGGGGTGGGGAGTTTCATCAGCCTTTAATTAGCAGAACCAGAGAGAAAGCCAAAGCCTGTTTAGCTCCAGTACCTCCAATTTACTGCAAGGCATCCCGGGTTAGTTTGCGTCGCTCCTCATAAAGCTGCACTAATTACAATGGCCTATTTCTCCTGTCAATGGACGTTCAGTTTTACATAATGTGTTTCTGAGGCTGGAGCGGTAGCTCAGTTGGTAAAGTGCTTGCATTACAAGCTTGAGGATCTCAGTTGGAGCCTCGAACTGCAAGTCGATACCTCTCTTTCCTCTCCTCTGAATCCCTGTCTCTACCCTAACTTGGTAGCAGGCCACATGTTGTAACTCCCTCTTCCTGTCTACCCCATCTCCAGTAGATCAAGCAGA